TACCTTGACCTCAAACTTCCTGTCTCTAGAGTTGTGGGGAAAATGAATTTCTGTTTTCAAGCTCCCCAGTCTGTGGTTTTCTGGTATTTGAAAAACAATAAAAAAAAATTGTTGTGAAATAGTCCTAAAGCCTAGAGGAATGTAAGTACTGCTCCCAGGGCAAGGATTTGTGAGGATCTTCCTATAGGGATAGGGTAGGCTGTAGGGATAGGGTATGTCAGAGAAGAAACTCAAATCACAGTTCAAGAGGGCACTAAAGATCAAAGGCAAATGTCAAGTGCTTTGTTCTAGCCCCAAAGTGTGAATCAAACTTTGAAAAGAGAACAGGAGACCTTAGGGAAGCTGAGAAGGAAGCGGATCGGTGTGCAAAAAGAGTTAGAGAACTGTCTACAGCCAATGCCAGGGTCACTGGAGCAGGGTCTAGTCACTTATGGGTGAGCAGATGAACAGGCTCCTTTTAGGCTCCCATCACTGGCTTTACTCCATAAAGGACTGTAATTCACTCTGGGATGTTTGCAGTGGGTTTTACCTTCCATGCATTATCTACAGTCTGTACCATATCCTCTCAACCAACACTCAGTGAAACTAGTCTCTGTGGTAAGTAAGGAATAAAGATACCAGGACATTGGTTTCCAGGTGTGTTTTCTGGAACTAAGGAGGTAACTGCCCTTGGGTCTCAGATACTGAGACAAAATGCTAACATGACTGTCTAAGTAAGTGATGAACATGAAAAAGAAAGGAACCAATAATCCTATTAAAATAGGATGATGTTGAAAAGATCCACAGTGATGTTAACAGCAAAGCCTGGTGTAATTCCCAAAACCAGAGATAGCCTGGCACAGTGACATGTCAGTCAATGGTGGTTTCAGGTTTGGGTAATGTTGACATGAGCACACCCTGATCTACTTAAGTCCCACCCCTTTGAATACCATGGATTCAAAGATACAGCAGAAAAAAACAAAAAAAGGTTTTTGTATTATGGATTGAACTCGGGGGTGCTTAACCACATCCCCAGTTGTTTTTTGGCTTCCACTAAGCTGCTCAGGGCCTCACTAAATTGCTAAAGTTGGTTTTGAACTCCTGAGCTGCTGGATTATAGGCATGTGCCACCATGCCCTGCAGATATTGCAGTATTTTTCAACATTGTCTGAGCCTGAGAATCACCTGGGTAGCTTTTTTAAAACACTGCTGTCCAGACTCCTTCCACAGAGATCCTAATTGAATTGGTACGGAATTGCTATCCCAGTTTTACAATTTCTTTATTTTTAATGTCCAAGGCCTAGGCTATGCAACCAGTATTGAGAACATTACTATGGGGCACAAAGGTGTATCTGCCATTGCTTCTTCATGAGGCCTATCAGCTCCTCACAAATTTTCTGGAAACTTTCTAGCAAACAATTTCTCATCTGTGTATATTCAGACAATAGGTAATACTCAGACTTCCAGGAAAGCTGGTTCTTCTAGAGGGGTTTGGTAGCCTGCATAATACATTTGGAACCTGTACTTTTAGAAGATAAAAGCCGATTGGGTCTCCTGATATTCTGAATGGTGTAAGCATGGGTCAAGTTTACAAAAATGGTATCTCTAGTCATAAAGCATAAAGATAAGCAAGTTTCTCACCCAAACCATGTGGGTGGTTCACCAGGAGATCACACCCTAGAGAAACACAAACCTAGTTCTGTTTAAGACCACTTGCCAAGAGAGCTTCTTTCTTCTCCTTTCATTTATTTATTTGTTTAAAAAAAGAAAGCCACTGCCAAATAACTACCTATGTTCCAAATTCTTCATATGAAGCTGAAGAAGACATAAAAGTCCCAAAGTACTAATATTTCTACCTAGGATGTAAATTTCACTTAGTTTGGAGAACCTGCTTTTTGTTTGCTTGTTTGTTTGTTGTTGTTTTGAATAACATTATATTTACCATGTCTACTCAATAATGGCCAATTAATAAGTATTTAATAACTTAATGAGTGAACAAATTAATGACATGAAATATATCATTGCAAAGGCATTTAAGATATAGGGAGAAACAAGATGCCATAAAAGTATGTACATAGAAAGCTAGAGTATGCTAGAAGTTTAGGAAAGGTTCTCAGGAAAAAAAAAATGTGTCTAAGATGTCATCAGTATGGTGAATAGGGAATATCACAAAGACTGGAAAACATGAGGAAAAGTGGTTTATTGTTAAAATTTAAGTTCAGTGTGCCCGGAAACTAAGGGGGAAAAGTAAGATTGGAGAATTAGGAAGAGAATGGGCTGCATAGAGCTCTCCAGGTCGTGTGTACTAGTTCTCATTGCAATTGCAATAAATGAACACAAACCTGGTGGCTTAAAACACAAATGTATTTTACAGTTTTGAAGGTCTCAAATCTGAAAGGGGCCTCACTGGGCTAAAATCCATGTGCCAGCAGAATTGGATCCATTAAGGAAGACTCTGGGAAGAATCAATTTCCTTGCTCTTCCCAGATTCTAGAGCAAGCTGCACTTGTTGACTTGCTGCCCACTTCTTCCATCGTCAGGGCCAGCAACAACCGATGGAATCCCTTTTCACAACTTCAATTCCTCTTGCCTCCTCTGTCTTCATAACTCTCTTACCTACTCTTCTTTAGGAGTTTTTTATGTGATTAGACCAGACGTGATGCCACACACCTGTAACCCCAGGGGTTCTGGAGGGTGAGGCAAGAGGATCTCAAGTTCAGAGCCATCCTCAGCAACTTAGTGAAGCTCTAAGCAACTTTGTGAGACCTGTCTTAAAATAAAGCATCAAAAAGGAGGCTTGGTATGTGGTTTAGTGGTTCGGTGCCCCTGGGTTCAATCCCTAGGACCCCCCCCACCAAAAAAAAAAAAAAAAGAGTTCATATGCTTAGAGTCGGCTCACACTCCAAAGCAAAATATTCTCCCCTTAATTACCTCTTCAAAGTCTCTTTTGCCATCTAAAGTAACATATTCACAGAATCCATTGATTAGGACATGGACATCTTTGGCAGTCATTATTTACACCATATTAAAATTTGTAGGCTTCACCATAAAAGCAATGGAAAGCTACTGAGGGGTTTTCAGTAGGGAAATTGCAAGATCAAATTTGTACTTATAAAAGATCCCTCTGGATGCCTTATGTAAACTAAGTCAGAAATTATTGTAGCCATCTAGGAGAGATGTAGTGTTAGTGTAAATCAGAAAGAAATTTTTAAAAAGTCTGGAAGGAATGAAGAAGAAAGAAGGAGTTTGAGTCATTTATACGACTGTCAACAACAAGTTTGAGTGTTTGATTAGATGTCAGAGATGAGGATGGAGTATGAGACAAGGAACACCCAGGTCTCTGACTAGGATAACTGCATAAATGAAGGAAAAGCTTTGAAAGAAGAGGAAAAAGAATAAATGCATTTGGGAATACCTTGAGTCCAAGGGCTATGAAGATGTCCCTGTGCAGATGTCCAGTTAGGAGTTGGATTCATTTAAAATTCAGGAGAGATGTCTGCACTTTGGATTTCCCTACAGGTGTCATTAGCACACACACGGAAGCCAAACTCTGGGGAAAGAATGGAGAAAAAAGATAGAGAGGTCCATGCTAGCACCTTAAGGAAAACCAGCTTTGAAAACTGTCAGAAGAGGAGGCATAGCAAAATACAGCACTCAGCACAGAAGAAAGAGGAGGAGTACAAAGGAGTCTAGTGTCATTCAGCCTAAGGGAAGAGGGAGAGTGTGTGCTTTAAAAGCAAGAGTGGTCAATTGCATTAAATGCTGTGAGCAAGTCCATAAAATAAGGACTGAAATAAGGACTTGACTTCCTCAATTGGAAGGTAAGGAGTAAGAGATTGGGGATGAAACTACTTTTTCTTTGTCAAGAAAATTGTTTTAAAAACTCAGAGAATTTAGAAGTAGCTACAGGAGTATGGAGGGATGAAGGGGAGGAGACATGATAGGGAATGAGAGAGAAACATGTTTATGGCAATTCCTTTAAGAAGCATCATGGTGAATGGCAGGAGGGAGATGAAGGTAGCTGGAAGAAAATGTAGAGTTCAAGAGAAATGTTCTACTTGTTCACTTAGTGGTTTGTTTTCATTTAATCTCACTGATTTGAGCACATTGCATTAAAGATGAAAAGGTTTTGAGGAAGAGTCTAAAGTGGAGGTGATGGTCCACTGATGAAAGTCATAAAGAAGAGCTGAACTCAAGAGCTTTTGTGGAAGCATTGGCCTTACTTGGAAGGGAGGTAGAGGCAGGAAATCTGTAGCATTCTTGTTTGTTGCCTTCTGGTTTTATTTGGTCTGGTCTCCTTTCTGTCATTTATTGGAATAATCATCCAAGGTGGTGTGGTGACTAGAAGAGATCCAGATGGTGAACCAAGGGAGAGAGGGAAGTTCAAAGTCAGAAAAGTGTTGCTGAGCCCTGCATCTGGGGAGGCTATAAATGCCAAAATGTATGATGGCAAAACTCCACAAGATCAGGAATAAGTCCAGAAGTGGAGTGTGAAGTGGTGGAGCATCCAGCTTGGGACATTTGTACAGAACCCTGGAGAGGGAAAGCCTGATTTACGAGGTGCTTGCTGCAGCCACAGCCAGGCTGGCTGGCTCGAATTTATGCAAGAACCAGGCAACTTCAGGCTTTGCTAGATGCTTGGGGGGAGGGGCAGTGTACAAAGAAAGGGCCACAAGATCTCTAACTTCTATGAATTCATCATCTAGTGGGAAATATAAGAATAATCAGTGTGAACCACCTGTCAGGTTACTGAGCCAGTTTTCCTCCTCTATTGTCATTATTATTGTTAGGTTGAAAGTCAAGCCATGATACCATCCAAAAAGTAAACAAAAAGACAAATCAAAAATACAAAATACCATGTGGTCAAGTGTCAAATGGGAGATATGGTAAAAATATATATAGTGTGTGTGTGATTTGGAAGGGAGTTCCAGAATAAATAGATTAAATTGGTTTGTGAAGACTTCTTAGAAACAGGCACACATTAATGGTCATTATTAATTTGGAGTGTTTTATTACCTTAGTTTTTGCCAAGAGCCAATACAAGGAAATGGCTCTCCATTGCCCATAGACTGCAGAATGAGCCCTTGGAGTGGATGGTCACAGTGTGATCCTTGCCTCAGACAAAGGGTAAGTGTTCATCTACATTTCCCCCAACTTCCCCTCATGGATACTATATTCCTTGCATCTCCAGGGAAATGGCTGTGAGGCAGCAGACCCCCAAACTAAGTTTCAACCCAAAAAGAGAGATATTCATGTGTAGATAGGTGGTTAACTGTATGTTGTGCGATATACTTAATGAACATGGTGAGACCTCATCTTTGGCATGAGAGACTGCAAAAGCTAGACTGCAAAGTGTTACTTTAAGTTACTCAGTAACTGTCTCTACTTCTCTCTTACAACCATTGAGTCATTTGGGCTGCAGAGACAGCAGCACTGGGGCTTTACAAAGTCTAACCTTTCCAGCTGATTTTGCGCAGTTTCGCTCAAGGACCATCGAAGTCTTTGGACAATTTAATGGGAAAAGTTGCCTGGATGCTCTGGGAGATAGACAGCAGTGTGTGCCCACCCAGCCTTGTGAGGAGGTCAGGGACAACTGTGGAAACGACTTTGAGTGCAATACAGGTAATCCTTGCCCTCCAGTTTCTCACTGTGGGTTTCTATGCATGCTCATGAGCGAAGAGAAGTAAACATGCTTTTTTATTCCAAATGTGATAGTGTCCCTAACAACATCGATATGCTCTGTGCAAAGAAATTCAACACATTTGGCAGAGTGTCTTTCCTGATTTTGACTGCAGGCAGATGCATAAAGAGGCGACTTTTGTGCAATGGCGACAATGACTGCGGAGACTTTTCAGATGAGGATCATTGTGACAGTGATCCCCGTCCGCCTTGCCGTGACCGAGTGGTGGAAGAGTCTGAGCTGGCACGAACGGCTGGCTATGGGTCTGTATCTATGCTTTTTCCAGATGACTAGGAGTGAAGGCAATCTCCAACACCCTCACTGGGATACAGTGCAAGAATGATTTGTATGAAGGACACAGTTGCTGCAACTTTTGGCTCTGTACCTTTAAAAAATATATTTAGCCTGGAAATGTGTTGAAAGTAGAAGGTACTTTGGCTAAACTGCCTGCCTCAGGAGGGCTCTGTAGAATGGATTCAACTATCAGAATATTACTTCTCAATCCAGAGGGAGATGAAATGTCGGAAAATCAACTTGACTTGACACGTTAACATTTAGAACTGAGTGGCCAGTAGTAGGTCTGGTAACTCCGTGAGAGCATTTGAATTCTCAACAAGGCTGTCTTTCATTAGAACTACTCTTGGAACAATACCTGATAATCAGTTCTCAAGAGATTCTAGCATTCTGAGAGTGCCACTCATTTTCCCTACAGAATATTGAGACTGAACAGGTGACTGTAAGCTCTAAGGGAAGTCTTGGAGTTTAGAGCTCAGGAATATACACAATAGGAACTATTCTGTGCTCCAAGAATTGGAATAATGACATAGATATGAGGCTCTATTCTGTTCCAGAGTCAGAAGGCATTCCAGAATGTCCCTGACATAGTCTCCCTTCGTTGTCCTAAGCTGGGTGAATCTGTCCCTAACAAGACACAGTTATTCTCCCACCCAGCAGTGCATCCACAGAGGTTTCCTGGCTATGTTTCACCATCTGTAATGCAGTGTGTCTCTTTATCCTCATGAATTCAGTGCCTGGTTCATAGTAAATGAATTAAATGAAATTAAATTCCATTATGAATACTTGGTATGTAGATAAGTGAATTAATTAAAAATAAAAATCTGTATGTAAGCACTTTCTGAAATACTGGCAGTTGATAACAGTTAAGACTGAAACAGGGTACCTTGTAAGAAATTGAGGGTCAGACCTCTAGAGCTTCAATGAGGATACTAGAGAAAAGAAAATGGGAAATGGTAAGAGTGAGGCTGACAAAGGGATTAAGACAGGGGTTATCAATGAGGGGCGATTTCCCCACCCACACACCCCAGGAGACATCCAATAGTATCTAGAGACCGTTTTAGTTGTCAGAACTTGGAGGAGATTGGGGTGAGTGCTGCTTATTGGTAGGTGACTACTGGTGGGTAGTGACCAGAGTATCGAGGAACATCCTACCATGCACAGGACAGCTCAACCCCAAATGTCAATTAGAAATCCTACACCAAAGTGCTTGGCAGTTCCTAAGATAAAGTCCCTATATCAGATTTGGCTAAAGTGAAAAAGAAGAAACTTCTTTTTTAACAAAATTAAGAACAAAACTCCAGAATACCAAGAGTCAGGCACTAGAGAAGATATGTCACACACCCTCTATTCACTTCATAAAACTTGTCCAAGCAGCCTCAAGTATTGCCCACAGCGCCACTGGCCCTTAGTCTACAGGTAGGGACCTTGATTCACGTGGATTTTCTCAGAGCCTCATAGCAAATGGCAGTCAGTTGTATGGATGTTGTCCAAAACCTCACAGCCCAATCACTGTGCATTTAAATGAGCCTCCACTCTTTCTGCTGCTCCCCTTGGGGAGACATTGTGAGTCCATGCTGAAAACCCACTACTATTTTATTTTGCTTTATTTGGGATCCAAGAAACAGTTTTCTTTCTAATCTAAACAAAAGAGTTTGAAACAGGGAATTACATGTGCTACTTATTTTCACTCAATGCAAATTTATTTTTGTCTTATAGGAAAAAAATACAGAATTTTTGGTCCACTTAGCTAAAAAACAATAATTTATAATCTATTGGTTTCCTTTGTTCAGGGAATAGAAAAAGTTATTACATAGCTTTTGCCAGGGAGTTTCATAATGATGAATCCCGGAGAGCTAGCAAGGAATCCTTAAATACCTTGTGCTTTACCAGGGTCCTGGAAGGTGCTGGGGACTGTCACAGGGCTGAGACTTCAAGGCATAGGGGGTGGGGCCCCAGCTCTTGGAAAGGACAGCAGCAGATGTGAAAAATGAGGTAGCTGGATAGTCCATCAGCATTTTTTATTAAATTCCCCATTACCACGAGTAAAAACCTACAACAAATTAAGTCTTCAAAAGACCTATTTTTCAGTACAATTTTCATTTGTATAATACTTTGAACTTTTCAAAATCTTTGTATATTGTATCTCTGTGGCTTTTCATAATAATCTTGTGAGATTGTTAGAGGAGATATTATATTCATTTTATAAATAAGAACTAAATGAAATAACTGAGGCCATTTGGCTAGTTTTTAGTGAACTAAAACCCAACTTTCTCTGACTCATATAAAATTATTGTTTTCCCTCAAGCCACCCACCCTTTCCTTCTCTCCATGATCCCCCCACATTTCTTCCATATCATTATAAAGTCTATAAGTCAATAAGTTTTCTGCAAAGCAAAACGAACCTTTAAAAATTAAACTCCTTAAGTAGTTATCTATTATCCAAATATTTGTATTAAGAATATAGGAGATTAGATTTATACACAATGGAGTACTACTCTGCATTAAAAAATGACAAAATCATAGAATTTGGAGGAAAACGGATGGCATTAGAGCAGATTATGCTAAGCGAAGCTAGCCAAGCCCTAAAAAATAAATGCCAAATGTCTTCTTTGATATAAGGAGAGTAACTAAGAACAGACTAGGGAAGAAGAGCACGAGAAGAAGACCAACATTAAACAAGGAGGAGAGGTGGGAGGGAAAGGGAGAGAGAAGGGAAATTGCATGGAAATGGAAGGAGACCCTCAGGGTTATACAAAATTACATACAAGAGGAAGTGAGGGGAAAGGGAAAAATAATACAAGGGGGAGGAATGAATTACAGTAGTGGGGGTAGAGAGAGAAGAGGGGAGGGGAGGGGAGGGGAGGGGGGATAGTAGAGGACAGGAAAGGCAGCAGAATACAACAGACATGAGTATATCAATATGTAAATCAATGGAAGTGTAACTGATGTGATTCTGCAAGCTGTATACGGGGTAAAATGGGAGTTCGTAACCCACTTGAATCAAAATGTGAAATATGATATATCAAGAACTATGTAATGTTTTGAACAACCAACAATAAAAAAAAAAGAATATAGGAGATTAGTATAAACTACTAATTAATATTTATGAAGAGGTCAAAGCAGCATGCTGTGTTATACTCATAATAATCTTCAAGGGCTGGGGCTATATCTCAGTGGAAGAGCACTTGCCTAGCATGTGTGAAGCACTGGGTTTGATCCTTAACAGCACATTAAAAAAACTAAACAAATAGAATGAAGGTATTCTGTCTATCTACAGCTATGGAATATTTAAATAATAATACTCTTCAAAATGATTAATATTCCATTTTTATTTACTATAAGTCTTTGTTTTTCTCATTCACAGATCTAGACTGTATGAGAAATAGAAGTCATGGGAGTAAACACCCTGGTCATAGCAACATGCTTATAAACTGCTTCTACATACTTTAGTCTAGAAATCTTCAACGAAACCTATCAACAGGCACATACAGTCAGATTCGTTGATGCCGGAAAGTCACAGCACTTGAACTAATTAATTCATTTCTACTTTTTCATTTGAAGGACTCTCATTTGAATAACCACGCTAGGAGAATTCAGTTGTATCAGGAAGGACGGAGGCGCTTAGGGAAATCTTCCAACCCATCTTGCATTCATCAAAAGATATAAATCCAAACCAGCTGCCAATGATGTACAATATGCAAAGGGATTACTTTTTTTGTGATCTAAGCACTGCACCACTTCTGTAAAGGGAGCTTTCTCATTAATTCACCTGGCAACTTGGAACTGCCTGTGGTTCTCCAAGCAGGCGTGAAAACAGGCATTGCTAAATGCTGCCAAAGAACACATGGGTTTTTTGTTATTATTATTTCCCAGGTGATGACTTCCTTTTCATGAGACGTTTTCATGTTTCTTGGCAAAAAAAAAAAAAAAAAAAAAAATTGGTTCATTCTAGAGTAGACTTGCCGTCTCTGTAGTAGTGGAATCCAGTCAAAAGTTTGTGAAACATCTCCTTAGTTGTGCTTCAGATTGTGTCTCAGCTTTATTGTAGCTTTCCAAATGGATCCAGCCGACTGGTCAGCTTGCTGTTCTATAAAATAACCCTCAGACTAGCGTGTGCCTATCGTGAGTGCACGTGAGTGTCTCCAAGGGGGAGACAGGTACATTTTAGGGTAATAGTTCAAGTACTAATTATTGAACCAATTTGCTATAGTAAATCCTCAACTTCCACATGAACATTTCTTCATGAGATTAATAAGTCAGGCGATTGAACTATATTCAAATTGTCAAGCTCATTCTCCTTCTTGACTCTTTTTACATTTATCTCCAACTTTCCCAAAGCAGAGTATATACAATTTTACTACAAGGTGGAAAACCTAAGATATGACTCCAGATATAGGTACTCAATTGGAATTTAATGACTTGGGAATTGAATGGTGTCCTTTTTTTGGTTTGTTTGCTTGTTTGTTATAGCATCAGTGTTGAAAGATGTCCTAAATGATTGTCAGCTAATGGACTACAAAAATGATTTTGGTAAAAGACCATTCTGTATATATTTTTTTGGTATATAACTCAGAAAAACAAAGAATTAAGTGAGATTTCTCTAACAAAATTCCTTCTATTCTTATAGAAGTGTATCAGCTATTACACCTGTAAAAATGGAAAGGAAGAATCAAATTGTTGCTGAACTCTGTCTCTTCCAGGAACTTAAGTAATCTTCACCTATGGGTGCAGAAACTAATTTATTGGTTTGAAAAGAAGCCATGTTTATTTCACTGAGATAACTTTCCAATAAAATTTCACTGTGTTTAGTAATTTACAAAATTTTAGTATACTTATATATACTATTAAGGATGAAGAAATTTGTAAATATTTAGACTCTAGGGCCAAAGGATGTTTAATACTTTAAAATTCCAACTAATATATCTTTTGGTAGAGAAAGTATAACAGGGTGACCAATAAAAATGTTTTAAGCATAAACTATATTACATTCTGTGGGGAATGAAAGAGAAATAAAAAAATTTAAAAATCAAGAATAAAAGAGGACACAGAGGATATAAGAAATCTCTGTATTTGCTGTTCAATTTTTCTGAAAAAATTAAACTGCTCTAAAAATAATCTACTTTTATTAAGAAAAAGAATACAGCAAAATACTATGAAATTCTTTTGAAGTAGAAAATATTGTAAATACTTACCAAATGCTGGAAATTTTATCCCTTGCAACTATTTTAAGCTAAAGATGAAAAATCTCAGATGTCATGCTAAGAAGGTGCAGGAAAACATAGCTTATCAATATTCTTTTCTACAGTATGCAAACAGAAAATCTAAAGCACACAATCCCAATCATTCCCACTGCTCATTCCTGTCCTCTTAGCCCCATTCCAGAGCACCCACCTTTCAGAGCCCAAACCAAATCCTCTTTATTTAAAACTCTTTTTATGACTTTCCCGTGATGATCTCTTCCTCTTGGAAAACTGGATTTATGCAGCACTTACCTTTGCCACTCCTTTGGACCAAGTATATCCTTCCTGATATTTTTTTTTTCAAATATGTGATTGTATGTCCAAATTCCCAGCTTCAAATTCTCAACTTCATGACAGTGGAGACTGTGCATTAGTTGTCTTAATATCACCCTGTGTATTACAAACACAATACAGCACACAGGTTAATTTCATTATTTGCTGAAAGTGAAGAGATGCAGTGTTTGTGTTTTTTTTTTTTTTTTTGTTTGTTTGTTTGTTTAAAGCAGGTACATGGGAGGGTAGAGTTCTCTATCAAACAAAGATGTAGTTGAGGTCCTGGGAAGGAAATACATAGATTTCTTTCCATAGTTTTATATATTTGAGTTGTAGGAATTGTATCAAAACCTCAGTAAAACAAAAATAAGAATTAATTGCTCACAAGATGTGGCTTGATGGGCAGCTCTGCCTCAAGCCACAGTGGCTAGGGTGGCTTTGCGTGTCCCAGAGGTTTTGACAGACTGGAGCTGCTGAGTAGCTAGGCTGAAACTGCAGCAACTGTCCATCAGAACTCCTTTTCCAGTTAATGGCACAAATACAACATAGTAAAAAGAAACAAAGGAAGCATCTTTATGCCAGGCTTCCAAAGGGTCCTCTATTACTTTCACCTACATGCTATTGGCCAAAGCATGTCACATGGCTAAGCACAAAGCCAGGGAAGAGGGACCTGCTCTTGGCCCATCATAATGCCTTAACAAGGATATAGATGTAGGGATGGATCAAAACTTAGGACTAAATGTTGACCTGTCATAAGGGACAAAGTGTCAAAGCAAACCAGGTTTATAATTTTTTTCTGTTATTCAAGATAATAGTACTATACTTAGGGCACTATATTAGAACTTTAGGGTCGTAATCTTTGCCAGGAAAGGTAATTTTGGTGCCACAGGTAGTAAAAGATGGTTAACTTAATCTACACCTCAGTCTTGAAAAAGATATTCACCTATCAATTCCTTAACTTGCTTTCCACTAAAGTTGAGCCACAATGCTTGTTTCCTTGTCGATTCAAATTGGCTAATAATGTGCTATTAATGTGAAAATGTTTTTAACTAATCCACTGGCAATAAGATGTTCTTTCAACTATTCTTGCATTAGCAATGGGTTTATAGTCAGTTATTCACACTTCAACAAATTGCTCTTGAAACCAATGTTCAGATTTATAATCCAGCTCAAGGGAGTTGGGAATGTGGTCCAGAGAAGTGGACAAGTTTATGCTTTTATGCTAAGGTGAGTTATGGTATGAAGACCAAACCTGACTCGAGGCCATTTATTCCAAACAAAGCCTAGGCAGCAACACTGTGCCCCTGCAACTAACAAAGCAGAACTTCAGAAAGAACCATTTTTTGTACATACATTGTTTTTAAGCCTCCAAATCAAATATTTTTTTAAAAAAAAGCTAAACAAGACTCCTATTTACCAATGAAAGCTTTCCAAATAAAAATATTCTGCTGGGAAGAAAAGTAGAACTTTTAAGAAGGCCTTGCTGGATGCTGAGATTTCTATGTTCATCTTGGAAAGTATAATGGGAATAATATATGCCTGAGGGAAATGAGGCTCTTGACCAGCAATGAGACAGCTGGAGGAAAAAGCTTAAATTTAAAGAGAATGAGGAGAGAGAGAAAGAGCCCCAATGTTGATTCATAGACAAAAAATTACATGCATATGTTTTACTGTCCCCCTGAGATGCTCTGTTCTCAAATAATTTAAATAGTTGGTATTACAGCGTCAGTTCCTGGTTCACTGAGGGAGGTTAGGTAAGAGTTACAGCACTGGAGCTCAGATTCCAGGAGCCAGATGGTCCCATGTGCCCTGCTTATTGCATTTCCTTCTATGTGCTCTAAATAGTGCCCTAGTTGCCAAAGAGTTTAGAGGGCCCTCCTAAGGTATGCTTTCTGCCAGAAACACAGAACTGAGGTGAACAGGCTTTTTCTGCTATTTGGGATTCTACTGCACACATCTTGGGTGACAGTGAGACAACCCAAAGCTGTCTCACAAACAGCCATGGAAGGCTACCTTGCATTACATGTGGTGTTCGCACACCTAACTGACACTACTCTGTTTATTCTCAGAATCAACATTTTAGGGATGGATCCCTTAACCACACCTTTCGACAACGAGTTCTACAATGGACTCTGCGACAGGGTTCGGGATGGAAACACTTTGACGTACTACCGAAGACCCTGGAATGTGGCTTCTTTGGCCTATGAAGTGAGTCTCTCCTCAGGAGAAAACATGGTTCAGCTGAAATTTGCTTTAATAAATTTAGTACTAGACAGGGTGAGAAATCCAATAGATACCAAAGATCTGCTTAAAGAAAAGGAGATGTAGCTTGCATCTCACTAGAAACACACGGTAGTCTATAATCAATCTTCAGTGACATTTACTTAGTGATAAAGATTTGGTAAATACTCAGACTCCCCAACAAGAATAAGCTAAGATTCTGAATGGACTAAAAATTAAATTAGTGCTGATTTAAGTAGTGATTACACTCCTTGCATGCTACTTAAATTTTTCTTTTTTTTTTTTTGCTAGTTCCCATGCCCATAAAAACTGATTTTTACATGTGTTTTCCTTCAGTATTGCTCTCTGTGGAGAATGCTTAACTAATAAGAGTGGCTATTTTCATTAACTTCAAACTTCTCTATGTCTTGTGAAAATATTACTTAAAATGTTTTTTGCCTTATGTAATGGCATTTCAAGTGTATTACCTACTTTAAAGTCACCTAATTTTCTAGAACCTTCCATAAACTGCCCCCTTTCCCCATTCAAAGTGATCATATTTATCAGCTTTAGAGATGTCTTCTTTGATTCCAGTAAGATACAATAAATAATAATAGTTAACTTACTCTAAAGTTAACAGGCTAAAAGAACCTGTCACTTTAAATGATCTCATAAGTCAAGAAGACCTGTAATATCCACTTTATTTATATAAAGCTCTTATTATTGATGTCAGTCACACCAGTTTGTAAAATACACACACACACACACACACACACACACACATATACATATATACATATATATACTTTTAAATAAATGTGATCAATATTCATTTTTCAAAAATAATATTATAAATTAATTACTACCCAGTGCAGCCTGATGTCATCCTCTTCTCCTAGGGACACTGAAGACGTCAATATCTGGACCTTTTGATTGGCACTTTGTTTATAAGTGAGCACATTCTCACATTTCCCGTACCTGTAAACCCAGAATAAAATCAGTTTCCCTCAAATCTAAGGGAAACTTTGGGATTGTTGATTTTTCCAAAGAGTGATATGTTTACTTCCTTTAAGAATGAAATTTGGGGCTGGGGATGTGGCTCAAGCAGTAGCTCGCTCTCCTGGCATGCGTGTGGCCCGGGTTTGATCCTCAGCACCACATACCAACAAAGATGTTGTGTCCGCTGAAAACTAAAAAATAAATATTAAAAAATTCTCTCTCTCTCT